CAGAATGTGTCAACACTGCAAAGACAAATAATTCAGTAAACACTGGAGCCAGTGAAGCCTGGGATGCAATTTGGTCTACTTCATTTAGGTATGGATGGATGAGTTAATAACCTCCTCACTAGGGCCCTATAAAAAGCTGGCAGTCTAGCATTTCAAATTGATGTTGTTAAGTTTTTTAACTTTTGTAAGTTAGTTGACTGAGAAGGATAAACAATTCCAAGAGGTTATTGCTGTCCTAACATCTAAATCTAGGTGGGATGAATCATTCTTGGAGATACCTCTCTTTCTCCATTAACTGTAGAAGTAGCCTGGATGACAGGTTGAGACGCAGTTTCTACCTTTGAGATGGCTAACATTAGCAGTGGAATTTTACACATAAGTTTTCCAGATTCAGGTACGTAAGCTTGACAGGCTATCTACGGAGGGCCTTGGGTGTTCTCTCTCTCCATCCATCTTTTGTACAGATAACGGTTTGGGCGTGGTTCACGGCATGGTTTTGTTGGGACCATAGGTGTAAGTTAGGTGTGTAAATAGCTGGGCTGGCTCTGTGGATTTGCGTTATGTGGTTGGTTGAATTCCCAGCTGAATCATTCTCAGATGAAGGAACCCTCTGGTAAAAAGAAACTTAGACTGTGGTCCAGCTGCAGCATTCATGTCTGACCTCTCCTCAATAATATAGGTTCTCTGATAACAGATAAAGATTGAGCCTTTCTCTTGGTAGAAGCACTTACAGGATCTTCTCCCTACGCAGATTTCTTTTCATGACATGCATAGGGTCTTTATGTCCGTATGAAGCCTACTCCTCTGTCAAACTTGGTTGAAATTGGCTAAAAGATTCAAAAGTTATTAGGCAAGTACAGACAGTGTCATTAGCCCTCTCCCCTTAGGAAACAGACTTCAATGGTGTGATCTTAGCTGGGGTTGACTGACCTCAGTTAGTTAATTCATGTTAAAAGAGTGTTAAAGCATGTTAAAACACACCTATGTTTTAATAAGAAATAATAGCTTGTGTTAAATCTAGACTGAAGTTTTGTTTTCACTGCTGTTTTAGCCCAAATGGCATTGTATTTTTGGCAGTTTAGGTGGATCCCTAGTCACGTTCCTTAACAAAATGATTTGTTTACTCTTTGGTTTTCAGCTTCAATGAGCTGAACTTCAGTG